AGCGGCCGGAACAGCCAGCAGCAGAGACAGCAGCAGCGGCAGCAGCAGCAGCAGCAGTGACAGCAGCATTAAGGCCCTGAGGGTCTAAAGACATGGATTCAGGTCATGTTTGACTCCTGGCTGCAGGAGCTGCCTCATATTCTCAGTTTTATTTCTGCCTCCCTCTCCCGTACCCTTACACACACACACTGTATTTGTTGACTGTAGCCCACTTTAAATATAAACACACAAACATATTCAAATTCTCTGCCCTATTGTCACGTGCTCCACGTTCGCTCCATCATAAATGTTATAAAAAGGAGAAAAGACGTCGGGTTTTTCCCCCATCGTACGTGTTTTGATTCCAAATTAGGTTAAAAACGGCCAAAAGTTGCTCAGGCCATAAATTAACAGTTCAAATGGATTCACCCGATGACGGCACCTGACGGAAGATTCATGCTCCTCACTTTGTCTGCTGAAAACTCTTGGCATTTATATTTTTTTATGATTCGCATTTTAGTGACAGATCCGTGTCTGAAAGTGCTCTACATCACTGCAAAGGACAAAAGCTCCCGGCTCCACATCACTCCTCCTCTCCTGTCATTATCTGGATATGGCTCTAAATCACCTGTGAAGTGTTGCGTAGTTATCCCACTGTTAAGTCTTTTATGAAGCATTTACAGACCGCCCCCCCCCGCCCCCACTCCACCGCCACCGCCCCCCCCCTTCCTGCTGCATTCAAAACAAAAGAGGCCGCACATGACCACAAAAGAGAAAGTCATTTGTGAAATGTCCTGATTATGTGGCCTGTGCAACATTGAACAATTTGCCTGATTACTTCCAATTGATTCAGCCTTACAGTTAAAGCCTCAGCCCTCGGAAATACACTGTGTTGTGCTGCAGGGGCAGCGGAGAGGAGTAATTTCTCCGATGCGCAGCTGAGCCAGCTTACCGCCAAAGATAAAGCCTTCTGGTTGCAGCTAAACCTTGGAAAGCCAAACACGCGGCTAGCTGCTGGCTAACTGTGTCTGTTAAAGCCCTGTGGGATTTGTCTGTGGCACAAAGTGAATTAAAGGTGACCTTCTAAAGGGATGGATAGAAAAGAGTAGAGTGAGGGCGGTGGGGGGGGGGTGAAGGGGGGGGGGGGAACATAGTACATTTTACGCACGCGAGGTGACGGCAAATGAATGAGAATTTTAGCTTTAAATATTTTCAAAACTTGCTCATTTGTGCGACTTTTCAATCAAATGTTTACGGTTTGAACTCCAGTTCTGTGAATGTATATTTCTGAATAAATCATATTCCATTCATGGGAATAAGAAGCTAAATATTTTAGTGTGAATGTTTTTTTACTAGAGTCAAAAGATGTTTTCCTTATTGTACATTTATATCTTACTCTTCTCAGTCCTTCCACAGTCAATCTGCATCTCACCAACACCAACACCTCCATGTCCTCCTTCACTACACCAATCAATGCCTGACAGCTCCATCTTCAACATACACCAATCAGCCATACCATAATGATCACCTGTCTGATATTGTGTACAGTAGCTGCCTGTTTTTACTCTCTTCACCTTGTTTTTTCTTCACCTTCCAGAACCAGCGTTAACGTCCTCAGCAGCCGTCCCGTCAGATCAGACCAGACAGGACGGCCTTCACCGCTCTTTCACTTATTACAGATTTTCTCGTCCTTGTTCGATGACTTCTGATAGGTACTGAACACTGCTGACACCGCTGCAGTTTTACAGATGCTCTGAGCCAATCACAGCGTAGCCCCTTGGCAGCACCTCTGAGCTGTTAGCATCGACTGTTGTTCTTCTCCAAACATGAAAACATCAACTGTGATGACTAGACTGTCACATGTGGCAGAACATATCCCACCTCCTAGTGTTGGTCAGTGGCTGTTCTGTGACTGCTGATTAATCTGATCTGCACATTTGTGAACAACAACAACAACGCCGACACACGGACACGGACGGAGACGCGGCGCTCACCTGACTGTTGATGTCTGCTTTGTGCTGCAGTAACAGCGACACCAACTCTTTGTGTCCTCGGTCACAGGCCCAGTGCAGCAGAGCCCGGCCCTGCAAACAAAAACACACCGATCGTTAAAGGAACACAAAACTTTGGAAAGTACAAGTCAACGTTTTACTGCAGCTTACATTAGCTTTATTGCACGCGTCTCTTACAGTCATTACGCGCTGCATGTTTTATTACAAACTGAAAGACACCGTCTTCTGTGCTTGGGACTTAATAAGGCTTTAGTGTCTTGGATGTAACACAAAATACATCCTGGCCTGACATTTGAAGCTTCTGCAGCACAGCTTCATTATGACAAAATGAAAAGAATTCAGTGTAAGCTCTGGGTCTCCCCCACACCCTCCCCCACCGTCCCCCACCCTCCCTCTCTGCTCTCTCTCTTCCTACACTTTCACACACACATTCATACTGCTCATCCTGAGTTCAAATAGTCAAATATCTCTACTCTAAGACAGCGGTTCCCAAGGTAGGGGGCAGACACCCACAAGGGGGCACAGAGCTATTGCAGGGAGGGGGCAACAATGGAATTACATTTCAATTAACTATATATTTTTTTACTTGTCCTACAGTAGAGATGCTACAAAAGACACTACATTTACATATAAACCACACGATCAGAGAAACAACGAAACACTGTGATGAATATTCACTGTTCAAAAGGCCTAAAACCGTACTCTCACTCTCTTTTTTTTTTTTTATCTGGAATCCTAAGAGTAAAAGAGCCGCGAGTTTCTGCGTTGAATGTTGGAAAATCCATTTGTAAAAGTCCTGACAGCAGAATAAATATTGGGTTGTCAGAGCAATGAAAGCCCAGCATGATATCAGTATTAGAAGGAGGTGAGAGGTGAGAATGATAAATAAGGCCAATATGTTCTTTTACTGAATCA